TTCTTTCTTTCTTTCTTTCTTTCTTTCTTTCTTTCTTTCTTTCTTTCTTTCTTTGGGGGTAATAACATTATTTGAGACTGGGAAAAGAGGCAATTGGTTCAAACAGTTTAAGAGCCACTAGTATAGAAGTATCAGAGAGAGAGATGAAATCCCTGGCCTGGGTTAAGGTGTCAGTGGACCCCCTGTTGTATGTGTGTTACTGTTTTCCTCTGGACTGTTAGGCTATGTTTTTAATTGTTTTTAACTGTATAGTAGATGTTGTAAGCCACCCAGAGTTTTTTAGAGTGGGGTGACTATAAGAAATCTAATAAATCATCATCTCATCATCTCGGGAATAGGAGAGCTTCCTCAGAGAACCCATAGAATTGCAGCTTCTCAAGTAGGTATCTCCTCCATTGTAGCATTGAAATTATCTGCCTGAGTGATCAAGCCTATAGGCAGAAATTTTAACTTTAACTAGTAGGTAAAGAAAATTACCCAAATCTCAGTTTCAGTCTTAATTACACCATTCTCACAGCAGAGGACTACGTTTGAGACACCTCATGGAACTTGAAAGATGCTTCAATTTTGTTACTGTTTAAAAGGCACCTGTGGATTCTGGGATGTTTAGCAAATACCTGGACTTTTATTTTTTATAATGTATTACTAATTCTTCATCCTAGCAATAAATGGCAAAAGATCTCAAGGGAATTAAAATGTGCCTCCTAAATCAAACCAGTGTTTTGATTGAAATATCTCATTCCTAGTCTTTGGGGTTGTGAAGATATGAGAGCAGGTTGGAGTAACTGAAGTAGATTAGAGTAGTGGCTGATAATTAACTCTGAACTATTAGCTATTGTATATAAATTGGATGCATTGATTCAGATTTTAGGATTTTGGTAAGTATTTCTCCCTGTTGTGAAGTCCATTTAATCCAAGTAGGGTAGAGTTCATCTTTTCCTAAAGTTACAGAGCTTAGGTCATAAAGCAATTTGTCAGGCACCTGCAAGGTTAAATTCCTGGAAAACTATCACTATCAGGCCGCTGTCTATGGAAAAGCTCTGAATGAATGATATCGTATTTTGTGAAACTCCAATACAGTACAATCTGTTGTATTAGGGAAGGTCTCACTGCTGGCCCAGTGAGAGAATTCTGTCAGTAGGCACTGAGCCATTCAACAAGGTTAGATTCAGTTTGTAGAAAACTTAGCCCACAGAAGTTTCCCACGTATCTTTTGACTGATGCATAAGAAGTAGAGAAACTATCTCTATGGTAAGTGGTAGAGATGATATGATACTGACTTATCATCAGTGCCTATCCTTGCATTAACATCACCTGCCACTATAATGGATGACTGATTTCGTTTACAAATCACCAATGTATAACTCCAATCTGTTCCAAATGTGTTCCATGAAACCATGTGGTTGCAGCTGGGAATGTACAGTATACATTAATAAGCAAGAAAAGGAAATTGTTAGACTTGAGAATAATAGCCAGAATGTAACATTCAAAGGAACTCAGATCTAAGATTTCAAAATTTAGACAACAGAGCTTAATAAGTTTAGACACTGCAAAGTTTTCCTCATCCCGCTCTAGGAACTGCCCCTACTGAAAAAGATTTATAGCTATCAAGTAATGGATCACTGGCAAGTCAAGTTTCCTATAAAAAGATAACATCATGTTTCATAATATACCTAATAAAAGTGGTATCATTAAGTTTTGCTTTCAACCAGCAACATTCCAGTAAATGACTGTTAATAGACAGGGGGCAGAGAAATATCATCTGGGGTGGGATTGAAACTTCATCTTGTGTATTGGTCTTCTAGAGGATCTTCTAGAGGACCTCCTAAAGGAGTTAATGGTAGTGCAATACTGTCCTCCTGAGGCATTCCACAAGCAATCTTTTCTGTCATCAGATAAATTAAACCCTTATTGGTTCTAATTTTACTGAATAATCAAATGTCTCTTCAGTTTCAGATCCTCTGATCTCCCTGTCCTTGTCTGATGTTATTGCAATTCCACCAGGAATGCCAGGAGTGGACCCAGAATAATCAGCACCTGCTCTTCTACCCTGGTACTTTTCAGTTCTTATTGTTGACTGCATGCCTCTTTTTGGCTTCCCATTCTGCTCTTTGTCATCTAGTAAATCAAAATGAATTAGTGAGGATCTGGATATTGCAGTTTTTGTGGCCTGTGTGTGTGTGTGTGTGTGTAAGGCAACTAAGTGGTGATGTAGCTGCTGCACAGGTTACTAACAGTATGTCTCTGAGATCATCAAGCCTCTTCAATGTTTCATGTTGTTCACAGCCTGGCAGAGTTCTGGTCCTGACAGTTACGGGTGAGAAGTCACCCCAGATTTAGTGTTCTATACTCATACAGATTTATTTTGTTTGTAAGTTCAGGACAATCACAATTGGCACTAATTAATTTTGTTGTTTATTTGTTTGCTTAAAGAAATAGGCACATATTAAATTTTATTTGTATATTTCATAGTTGAAATTATGTAAATAAATAAAAATAAATATTGGATTGCATAAACATGGAATTCTTTAAAGAAGCCCCATTGATTCAGAAATATCAGGAATGTTGACTTTATTCCCTTTATCCTCTGAACAGGACTGGGAAAAAAATCTTCTGTTGGGAGCATCTAAAATCATTTCCAGCTACGGGATTAACAGTTTTTTCAGAATACTACCATGGTGAGGAATATTGACGACTTCGATTTTTGCCTTCCATCCCATCCTCAATCTGTTCTGGAAGGACTACAGACTCTGCGTTCCAACCCCAAACTCTCAGATGTCACTTTGATTGTTGGGGGACATGAATTCCCTTGCCACCGCAGTATCCTAGCCCTCAGTAGTCAATACTTCAATGCTATGTTTGCTGGTGACTTTATGGAAAGCTTTTCAGCACGTGTAGAGATCAAAGAGGTGGATCCTGTCATTATGGAGTCCTTGATTAATTTTGCTTACACAGGAAAGGTGACTATCAATCAGGCAAACGTGGAGGCCTTGATTAGGACATCCAGCCAACTCCACTTCCCCATCATCCAGAAAGTCTGCAGTCGGTACTTGAGACAGCAGATGGATGCCAGCAACTGCTTAGGCATTTGTGAGTTTGGAGAGATGCATGGCTGTTCAGAGGTTTCATCTGAGGCTTGGTCATTTTTGCAAGAACATTTTGAACTTGTATCTCAACAAGAAGAGTTTCTTCAACTATCAAAAGAGAGGCTAGTTATTTATCTGTCCAACAACCTACTGCAAGTACAAAAAGAACAGAGCCTAGTTGAAGCTGTGCTCAAATGGGTCAAGTATGAAAAATCAGCCAGAGTGGTGCACCTCCCAGAGCTCCTTGACCTAGTGCATTTGGTTTCACTGCCAGATCAGTATCTGCAAAACATGTTGTCATCTGAACCGCTGATTCAAGAATCAGAAGCTTGCAAGGCTATCATTGCAAGACATCGGAGCACGGTCAGTTTGGAGGCACTGTGTACTTTTTGATCCAACTCTAAGTTCAGTTTGAAGACTAGAAAATAGACTAAGGAGCTTCTGAACAAGTTACTGTACACACACACACACACACACACACCCCGAATTCCCAGCTTTTATCCAAAATTTGGTTAATCTGGCAAAGATTCATATTCTTATTCTAGGAAAATGGGTGGGATTTCTTTTTTCTTTTTAATAGCCCATCCTGGGCTGGTAAGGAACATTGATGATTCAGAAACCAGGAAACACTTGCTACCTAGAAAAACCTCTGGACTTGTTGGTCTGCTATGGCTGGGCTGGCAGATACAGGGTGGGCTGGTTGTATCTGGTCAAATGCACTATTTAGTTTACAGATTAATTATAGGGCCAACATGTTTAAACTTGGATTATTTAACGCTAATCAAAGTATTCTTCAGAATAAATTTTTAAATGTTAGAATTATTATTATCATCAACATTAGGATCTCTCTGCAAGATAGAAAACAACCTGAGGGACAAGGAAGGTAGATTTTAAAAAGCCCCACTGAAATGATGAACTATAGATAGCGTAAATGAATTATAACAGAAGGATATATGCCCCAAAACACTGACTGACTGAGATATCAGAGAAAAGCAATTTTAAAATGCATCATTCTATTATTTCTTTTTATTTTATGAAAAAAAAAGTATGCAGTGTGTTCAAATTGTAAAATACAGCATGTGGGAAGGCATATGGAAAGAAATCAATGAACTGTTTTTCCACATAAGGGTAGACTGAATTTCCTGCTCAAGCTAGAAAGTATATTGATTCATCACAGGAATTACTGGGAAGTTTTGCTTTACCTTTACTTTTACAATGTACAAATTGTTGAAAAAAAACAAGAGAGGAGTGGTGCAGAAATTAGAAGCTTTCTATTTTGTGACATACTTTTTTTTTCTGTCTCTAAGGCAGAGAACAGGCCCTTTGTCCAGCAGAGACTGAAGGCCCTTCCACAAAAGCTGGAAGAGGTGCTGGTAGTTGTGGGAGGCAGAGCTCTGGAAGAAAATGAGGAAGATGAACAGCCACCACACTTCTCCAGAAATTTTGCCTTTTATAACACTAACACTAGTAAGTGTCTGAAATTCTCCCTGATATACAATGCCAGAACAGCTTATTTCAAATTACAATGTTTTATAGAGTAGCCCAGGCTATGCTACTGAGCATTGCAGTGCAATAACAACAGTAGTGTTGTAGAATTGAGAAATATGAATGCTATCTGCACCAGAATCTTAAAGACATCATCTAAACAAGTTTGCTTTTACATGGCAGATCCTACAGGAAATGTTAGTACATAACACAGTGTTTCTCAACCTCAGCTCCTTTAAGATGTGTGGACTTCAACTCCCAGAATTCCCCAGCCAGCATGCTGGCTGGGGAATT